CACCTTGAGCCTGTGCCCTCTTGTAGTTGACCTTTCCACCAGGGAAAAAGCCTCTGGCTATCCACCCTATTTATGCCTCTCAGAATTTTGTAGGCCTCTGCCAGGCCGCTCCTCAGCATCTGTCTTTCCAGTGAAAACAATCGAGTTTATCCAACCTCTCCTCATAACTAAAATCTTCTAGACTAGGTAACATTCTGGTAAGCCTTCTCTGCACCCTCTCTAAAGCATTCAGGCCCTTCTGGTAGTGTAGTGACCAGAACTGCACACAATATTCCAAATGTGGCCTAACTAAAGTTTTGTACAGCTGTAACATAACTTGCCAACTTTTAAATTTGATGCCCTGGCCGATGAAGGCAAACATGTTGTATTCTTTCCTGACCACCTTATTCACCTGGATGTGCATGCACAGAACTCTCTGTGTGTCAATGCTCCTAAGAGTTCTGCAATTTGTTGTATAATTTGCACCTGAATTTGATCTTCCAAAATGCATCACCTCGCATTTGTCTGGATTAAACTCCATCTGCCATTTCTTTCCCCAAATCTGACATCTGTCTGTATCCCACTGTATCCTTTGACAATCCTCCTTACTATCTGCAAGTCCACCAATTTTGGAGTCATCCGCAAACTTATTAATCAGATCACATGTATTTCCCTCCTGATCACTTATATATATTACAAACAACAAAGGTCGCAGCATTGATCCCCGAGGAATACCACTAGTGACTGATGTCCATTCTTCAAAGTACCATTCCACCGCTACTCTCAGTCTTTGATGACCAGGATGTTTTCTGATCGACTTGGCAAACGGTTCTGTAAGACACAGGAAACAGGGAATGAAGGTTAGCCCTATCTGACATTTGATATGAAAGGAAAGATTTCTGTTTCCCACGCTTTGATTGAAACTATTTTGAAATGTCTAATTGACCACAGTGCCAATTGCTTTTTAGAGAACAGTCCCCAGGTTTCAGTGCCTGTTGTATGAATAAAGGTTTTGGGTGTTGTATAGAGCCTTTTGCCGAATCCATCAGAAAGGATGCAAGCCTGAGAGGGGTGACTACTCCAGGCAGCAGGGGCCTACAGATTAAAGCCATGGATAACGTTGCTGTTTTCTGCTCGGATCTGCTGTCAGTGTGCAGACTCATGAACACCTGTGACCAGTTTAAACTTTTTTTTTTAAATATACTTTATTCGTACAAAATACAAAAAAAAATAAACAAATTTTCACCTACCCGGTCATGCTAGCCGCCCCGGGTTACCATGGGGGTACGTACACCAACTAAAGGAAAAAACAAAGGAAAAAGAAAAACTCCAGCGGTCATCTCTACCCGTAGTCATAGTTGGCCCCCTGACCAGTTGGAGGAGGCGCCAGCTGGGCCCAGTTTCTGAACAGGGCTCTGATACGGTACATGCGAGGGGTCTTACACGGTGGTCTTTCCCCACCGCGCCTTGGCGGCGGCTGCCCCAAGCTTTAGTGCGTCCCTCAACACGTAGTCCTGAACCTTGGAGTGCGCCAGTCTGCAACACTCGGTCGGGGTTAGTTCTTTCAACTGGAAGACCAGCAAGTTGCGGGCGGACCAAAGAGCGTCTTTCACCGCATTGATGGTCCTCCAGGCGCGGTTGATGTTGGTCTCGTTGTGGGTCCCGGGAAACAGCCCATAGAGCACGGAGTCCCGTGTCACGGAGCTGCTCGGGATGAACCTCGACACAAACCACTGCATTCCCCTCCAGACCTCCTGCGCATAGGCGCACTCCAGAAGGAGGTGATAGACTGTCTCGTCACCCCCGCAGCCACCTCGAGGGCAGCGTGCAGTGGCGCAGAGAGCCCGGGTGTGCATGAATGATCTCACTGGCAGAGCCCCTCTCACCACCAGCCAAGCAATGTCCTGGTGCTTGTTAGAAAGTTCTGGCGATGAGGCATTCTGCCAAACGACTTTGGCAGTCTGCGAGGGGAACCACCCGAAAGGATCCACCCTCTCCTTTTCCCGAAGGGTCTCAAGGATGCTACGTGCCGACCACTGCCTGACGGCCTTGTGGTCAAAGGTGTTTCCCTTCAAAAATTTCTCCACGAAGGACAGGTGGTACGGGACAGTCCAACTACTTGGAGCGTTCCGCGGCAGCGAGGCCAAGCCCATCCTTCGCAACACTGGAGTCAGGTAGAACCTCAGTAAGTAGTGACACCTAGTGTTTGCGTACTGAGGATCTACACACAGCTTGATGCAGCCGCACACAAAGATAACCATCAGGGCGAGGGTAGCGTTCAGCACGTCCTTCCCCCCGTTTTCTAGGTCTTTGTACATGGTGTCCCTGCGGACCCGGTCCATCCTCGACCCCCAAATGAAGTGGAAGATGGCCTGGGTGACCGCAGCGGCGCAGGTCCGGGGGATAGGCCGGGCCTGCGCCACGTACAACAGTACCGAAAGCCCCTCACACCTGACGACCAGGTTTTTACCCGCAATGGAGAGAGACCGGTGGACCCACCAGCCCAGCCTCTGCCGCAGCTTTGAGATGCGCTCCTCCCAAGTTTTAGTGCACGCCCCAACTCCTCCAAACCAGACACCCAGCACCTTCAGGTAGTTTGTCCTGATGGTGAAGGGGATGAAGGAGCGGTCGTTCCAGTTGCCAAAGAACATGGCCTCGCTCTTGCCCCTATTGACTTTGGCACCCGAGGCCAGTTCGAACTGGCCGCAGATGGCGATCAGTTTAAACTTGCCTCGGGTGCTAAGGTAAATTGAGGCAAGAGCAAGGCCATGCTCTTTGGGGGCTTGGCGGACCAATCCTTTATCCCCTTCACCGTCTGGTCAGATTACCTGAAGGTGCTGGGTATTTGGTTCAGAGGGGCTGGGGCATGCACCAAAACTTGAGAGGAGTGGGTCACTAAAGCACAGCAGAAACTAAGCAGGTGGGAGCACCAGTCTATCTCCATTGTGGGTAAAAACCTGGTCATCAGATTTGAGGTACTCTCAGTGTTGTTGTATGTGGTGTAGGTCTGGCTTATTCCCTGAACCTGCTGCAGTCACCTGGGCCATCTTTCACTTCATTTGGAAGTGGATCGAGTCCGAAGGGACATTATGTATAAAGAATTGGAAAAAGGAGGGTAAAACAGACCCAAATGTACCCTCACCCTGATGGCCACCTTTGTGTGTGGCTGCATCAAGCAGCGCATAGACCCTCAGTACGCAAACACCAAGTGTCATTACTTACTTAGGTTCTACCTGTTCCCAGTGTTGAGAACGATAGGCTTAGCTTTGTCACTGTAGAACGCTCAAAGTAGTTGGACCCCGCCCCTATCACATGTCCCTTGTGGAGAAATTTGTGAAAGAAAACACCTTTGACAACAAGTCCATCAGGACGGGGTCAACACATAGTGTCCTCAAGACCCTTCAGGAAAAGGAGAGGGTGGATCTTGTTGACTGGTTCCCTGAGCAGACTGTGAAAGTCATTTGGCAGAATGCCTCATCACCAGAACTTTCCAGCAAGCATCTGGACATCGCTTGGTTGGTTGTGAGAGGGGCTTTGCCTGTGAGATCCTTCGTGTGTGCCCGGACTCTCTGCACCACCACATGCTGCCCTTGAAGCAACTGTGGAGGGGACAAGACTGTCACACATCTCCTTCTGGAATGTGCCTTTGCAAAGGAAATCTGGAGAGGGATGCAATGGTTTTTGTCAAGGTTTGTCCCGAGCAACTCTGTGGCACAGGACTCTGTGCTCCATGATCTGTTCCCCGGGACGCACACTGAGACAGACATCAATTGCGCTTGGACGACCATCAACTCAGTGAAAGACGCTCTTTGGTCTGCCCGAAACTTGCTGGTCTTCCAGTTGAAGGGGTTGACCTTGACCGAGCTTTGCAGACTGGCACATTCCAAATTCCAGGATTATGTGTCAAGGGACACGCAAAAGCTTGGGGCAGCTGCCACCAAGGCGCAATGGGGAAAGACTGCTGTCTGAGGTCCTTCTGCCCAAGCATAGTGGGGGTCCATTCATTAATCGGACCCTTCTGATGACTAAGCTAAATGCCAAAAGTTTAATAGTAAGTGTAGAGAAAGGCAAACCACAATGCTTGTTTTCTTCTCAGTAAGAGACTGATCTGAATGGCTTCATTAACTGTGTAAGTACATAAAGATTTCCTTCTATGAATAAAGTATATTTTTTGAAATTAAAATAAAGAATGGAAGTTTTATTGCATATCCATGAAAGAATGAGTTCAATTTTAAGACTTCATCTGTATTTCCCCACCACAGAAAAAAAGTTCCCTTGTCCATTCTATCGACTCCTTTTATCAACAGCACAGCTTAATGTCATCATCCTTTGACCTTCTGTATTCAATGGAGTATTTTTTAATGGATGGTTAATTGTACAACTGAGATTGATTGAAGTTTTTCGGTAACAGATACCAGTTGATACAAAACTTAGAAAAGAAGACGGAGTTAAGACATGGATCACATATGAGTTAAATGCGTTACAACTGGTGAAAGAGGCTGAATACTCTATTCCTGTTCAGATGTTCCCATCGGCACAGTTTACTCTGCCACGTGATGTTCTTAAGCAATTTTGGAAAGACAGTCCTTTATAACTTTACCATAGTTGTTTATAAATATCGTAAAAATATGAGATTCGCGACAGACATCATCACACTCTAAGTTTCCTTTTCCCTCATTTTTCACAGGATCGCGCATTTTAAAAAAAACTTGAGTACAAAACATGAGAGAGGCAGTGCTCAAACACTGAGCGGCACAGGACCGACAACCTGCAATATCATTTCGTGCGGGGAAAGGCAGGGAGGCCCCGCCCTCTCATCTACAAACTGTAATAAAGCACTGCGAAATGAAAATAGGGTTTCGGCTTTCTGTGGGATATTAACTATTTTGCGCTATTGCAGCGGATCATATTGACATTGGTTGTTCTGTAGTATCGATAGTATTTGCCCGTGTGGTCAATCACCATGACGCTGAACAGCTTCGTGGGTAGTGGGTTGAGGGTAAATTGGTGAATTTTTCAGTATAATCTGGTTCCTCTTCAAATCATATAAATCTTTCGCCTTTTACTAAAGATTTCCGTGGAGTGGAGCACTCAGAGTTTTAATCAATTTTTTATGGCTCTGCTTTTGTAGGGCTGATGATATAATTGCAAAGACAGAACAGTTGTGGTGTTTGTTAAGGTCTGACGAGGTTGGTAGTTGTTGGCACCCACCTAGCTTTGCGTCCTAAAAAGTGCACTTTTAACTACTAGCCAGATTTTAAACTTTTTTTTTGTTGATAGTTTATTATCTTAAAGGACATGCTTAATTTTGCCTAGGTCTTAATTTTATTGGTGTCTGCATTGCTGCCTGTTTTTGTAAGGCTGTTTTTGTTGGTTGCAAACACAGATTTGATATTTCCATTAATTCTTCTATAAATCCTGTGCAATGCTCTCGTTCTTGACCAGGAAAGTTTCTCCCAATCTACCCTTCAGAATCAAAAACAAAGTTGCTGGAAAAGATCAGCAGGTCTGGCAGCATCTGTGAAGGAGAAAACAGAGTTAACATTTCAGGTCCAGTGACCCTTCCTCAGAACTGATGGTGGCTGGGAAAACGTCAGTTTATATGCAGAAAATAGGGAGGTGGGTGGGGTAGGGAGTACACGATAGGATAGAGCCCAAAGAGAGAGAAAGACAGTTGGACAGACAAAGGAGTTGCTAACGATCAGGCTGGGAGGGTGAATAGTTGTTAATGGGGACTGTTAGTGATGAACAACAGCGGGTGTGTAGTGGCAGGCTATGTGGTAACAAGGCCTGGTGTGTGGGGCGGGGGGCTGGGACGTGGGAAAGTTTAGGCTCTAAAATTATTGAACCCAATATTGAGTCCGGAGGGCTGTAGGGTCCCCAAACGGAAAATGAGGTATTGTTCCTCCAGCTTGCGTTGGGTTTCACTGGAACACTGCAGCAAGCCAGAGATGGAGATGGCGGCCAGGGAGCAGGGTGGTGCATTGAAGTGGCAGGCAACAGGTAGTAGGGTCATTTTTGCGAGCAGAATTTAGATGTTCTGCGAAGCAGTCGCCAAGTCTACGATTTGTTTCCCCAGTATAGAGGAGACCACATTGTGAGCAGCGAGTGCAGTAGACTAGATTCTGGGAAGTACAGATGAAGTGTTGCTTGACCTGGAAGGTATGTTTGGGCCCTTGGATACTGGGGAGGGAGGAGGTAAATAGGCAGGTGTTGCACCTTCATCGGTTACTGGGGAAGGTGCCGTAGGGCTGTGGGGAGGTGTTGGGGGTGAAGGAAGTGTGGACCAGGGTGTCCCGGAGGGAATGCTCCCTGTGGAAGGTGGACAAGAGAGGGGAGGGGAATATGTGTTTGGTGGTGGCATCTCGCTGGAGGTGGTGGAAATGACGCCTGATGATCTTCTAGATGTGGATGCTGGTGGGATGGTAGGTGAGGATGAGGGGAACCCTATCACTGTTGCGGGAGGAAAGAGAAGGGGTGAGAGCGAAGTGCGGAAGATGGGTCAGACCTGGTTGAGGGCCCTGTCAACAATGGAGCTGGGGAATCCTTGGTTGAGGAAGAAGGTGGACATTTCGGAGGCTCTCTTGTTGAAGTTGGCCTCATCTGAACATATGCGACAGAGACGGAGGAACTGAGAGCCGTCTGTCTAGTCACTGAAAAGATGAGTGAAAGAAGGAATATTGCCATTGGAAAAGTGATTGAGGAAGGTGCTTGGTTTTGTTGCTCCCCAATTCCGAGGTTCCTCGAGGGTCACTCTGAGAAACTACTGGCAAACTCAAATTTGTGAGAATGTTGCAAGGGAAAGCCGAGTTGTATTCTGCTGTGTGGGACTTGATTGCTCAGGATCTGCTGGAGGTACCTTGTGCTAGTCCATGAGGAAAGGTATAATCACCCTCACCGACAAGTCGAAGGGGTAGGAGGGAGGAAATTAGAAATTGGCAACCAATTTCACTGCTGAATGGAGATTGCAAGATCCTGTCAAAGGTCATCGCCAACCAGGTCAGGTCTGCTCTGGGATTGGTGATTCACCTCGACCAGACCTGAGCTGTACTGGGTAGGGCGATCTCTGAGAACCTCATGCTCCACAGGGATATGATCACCCACGTGCAGAACAGGGCGTGGATGCCTGCTTCATCAGCTTGGACCAGGCGAAGGCGTTTGACAGGATATCGCACATGTACATGTGGGTCATGCTGTCCAAAATGGGCCTTGGAGAGAGAATGCACAACTGGAGCCGACTGGTCTGTTCTAACATCTTTCATGCAGTTTCTATCAATCGGTGGGAATCAAAAAGCTTCCCAATCAGATCCAGAGTCTGATCCCATAAATTCATTACCTTCTGAGTGAGGAAATTCAGCCTCATCTGTTTTAAACATGCAACCACTTATTCTGGGATTAGAAACTGTAGTGCTGGTCTCTCCCACAATGGGAAGCAATCCCTTTGCATTAGCCTGTTCAAATTCCCTGAGAATCTTGAATGTTTTAATAAGGTCGCTTCTCATTCTTTGGAATTCCAATGAGTACAGGCTACAACTACTCAATGTCTCCACATAAGACAGTTCTTCCGAACCAGGTATTAACCTAGTGAACCTTCTGTGGACTGCTTCAAATACGAATATCCCAAAAGGGAGAATTGCAAATAAATATATTATCTTCGACAGTTTTCATGTTGAAGGGTCTAGGCCCGAAACGTCAGCCTTTCTGCTCCTATGATGCTGCTTGGCCTGCTGTGTTCATCCCGCCCTGCACCTTGTCATCTTAGAGACAAGCTGTTTGCCTTCAGGCAGCTCTGAACAAAGGGGATCATTAAGACTCATTCTACTCAATTTAAAATGAGCACTAACGCTTTTACAGTTAGTTAATTGTCTCACAATGGCCAGTCAAAGACTGGAGGTAAAGCATGACTTTCCAGTTTTAGTGAGATGGGCTATGAGTACCTGAAATAGCTCTCTTTCTCACATGACGCAAGTTGTGTGAATGAGGTAAGCGGGCAATTCGCTCGCACTTTGAATGTTTTATGTTTAAACCCCACTTTTGGTTTCATCTTAACGGTCTTTGTCTTTGCTGTGGGTTCATTTCAAAAATCGGAATCTGTAATCCATGAAAATATGAGATTCGTGACAGACATCACCACACTCTCCTTTAAGTTTCTTTTCCCTGACTTTTCACACGATCGCGCATTTTTAAAAAAAACAACTTGATGTGCACAAAGAATGAGAGAGGCAGTGCTCATCTCCTCGTCCAAACACTGAGCGGCACAGGACCGACAACCTGCAATATCATTTCGTGCGGGGAAAGGCAGGGAAGCCCCGCCCTCTTATCTACATAACTAGAATATAGCAGTGCGAAATGAAAATAGATGTTCGTCTTTCTGTGGGATATTAGCTATTTTGCGCTATTGCAGCGGATCGTATTGACTTTATTTGTTCTGTAGTATCGATAGTAATTGTCTGTGAGTACAGTCTCCATGACGCTGAAGAGCTACGAGCATAATGGGTCGAGGGTAAGGAGGTTGATTTTTTCAGTATGCTCTGGTTTCACTTCAGATCGTATAAATCTTTCGCCTTTTACTAAAGATTTCCGTGGAATGGAGCACTCAGAGTTGTAATGAATTTTTTGTGGCCTTTGCTTTTTTTGTCGGGCTGTTCGTATAATAGTCAAAGAAACTTGTGTGTTGTAACCGTTTTTGTTGGTGTTTAAGGGTATTTGGGTTGTGTCTGAGTGCAGGTTGCCTCACGTTCTTCGTTGTTAACGCTGTGTTTTGTTTTTGTTTTGGCCAGAGTTTTAACTAATGTACTTGGATGGCTTTTTTCATAAAACAAGACTTTGTGTTGCTAAATAAAAATCGAAAGAACTGTGGCTGCTGTAATTCAGGAGCAAAACCAAAGTTGCTGGAAAAGTTCAGCAGGTCTGGCAGCATCTGTGAAGCAAAAAACAGCTGGACCCTTCCTCCGAAGTGTCTGTTGGTTTTAATTTTGTGGGCCCTTATATCGCTACCTGTTTTTGTTGGTTGCAAAAACAGATTGTAAATCCTGTGTTAGTGGTTTCATTGTTGACTGGGAAAGGTTCTCTCCATCTAATCTTCAGAACCTTCTATCTAGTCTCAGAAAAGGTGAGTGAAACAACAAATATTGTCATTGGAAAAGTGTTTGGAGAAGGTGCTTGGCTTTTATGTTCCCCACTACCTGATTCCATGTCCCTCAAGGGTCTCTCTACTGGCCACGTCCTGACAACAGTCCAAGGGAAACCCATGTGTCTTCTTTGGATCCCCGTGCAAATTCAGTGGATTCAAGGATAATATGTTAATTAGAAATAAAAACAAATTGCTGGAAAAGTTTAGCAGGTCTGGCAGCATCTGTGGAGAGAAGGCAGTTAACATTTTGGGTCAAGTGGCCCTTCCTCAGAACAGTGCTGCCAGACCTGCTGAACTTTTCCAGCAATTTCTGTTCTTGTTTCTGATCTACAGCATCCGCAGTTCTTTCAGTGTTTGATGTGTTAATTATCTCATTAATGAAGTGAATTGACATTCTGCTGATGCAGGTGGGAATGTTGAAGTCAGCCTCACCGCTGGACATTAGCCTTTTTGTCTTTTGGACTCAGACTGTATGAGGACATGAGCACACCTGGAAGAACCCAAACTGATTAGACTATTGCTAAACAATTGCCACTTAACAGCTGCTCTGTTTTGAGGAAGGGTTACTGAACCCAAATTGCTAACTCTGATTTCTCTGCACAGATGCTGCCAGACTTGCTGATCCTTCCCAACAATTTCCTTTTTATCTAATTTCCAGTATCCAAAGTTACCTTGGTTTTTATTTAGTATTTTACTCAATACCTTACATATGTGTGGCAGCCCAGAGTGTGCCAAAACTGTGGGACCTCAGGTCATATGCAGCAGATTGCAAAGTGATCCTTTAGAGGAACTTCAAACAGGAGGGGAAACTGACTAAGGTCTGTAGAGGAAAGGCATCACCCTCACCTACAAGTGGAAGGGGGACAGGGAGGAAATTAGAAATTGGAGGCCAATATCATTGCTGATTGCAGACTACAAAATCCTGTCAAAGGTCATCACCAAACTAATCAGGTCAGCTCTGGGATTGGTGATTCACCACGACCAAGCCTGTGCTGTACCAGGCGGGATGATCTCTGACAGCCTCACACTCCTTAGGGATACGATTGCCTACGTGCAGGACGGGGGCGGGGTTGGTGGGCGGTTTGGACGCCCACCTCATCAGCCTGGACCAGGAGAAGGCCTTTGACAGGATATTATACACCTACATGTGGCATGTGCTCTACAAAACAGGCTTTGGGGAGGGAATTCACAACTGGATCTGATTACAGCAACATCATTCGTGTAGTCTCAATCAGTGAATGGGAATCAGAAAGCTTCCCGATCAGATCCGGAATCAGGCAGGGCTGCCCACTCTCTCCTACCTTGTTTGTATGTTGTATAGAGCCTTTTGCTGAGTGCATCAGGATGTGAGTCTGAGAGGGGTGACTATTCAAGACAGCAGAAGCCAGCAGGTCCAACCCTCCCTGTACATGGATGCTGCTTGGATCTGCTGTCAGTGTGTAGACTCATGAGCATCTGTGACCAGTTCAAACTGGCCTTGGGAGCCAAGGTAAATCAAGGCAAGAGCGAGGCCATGTTCTTTGGGAACTGGGCCAACTGATTCTTTATCCCCTTCACCTTTGGAACAGAGAACCTGAGGTGCTAGGAATTATGATTTGGAGAGGGTGGGGAGAGTGCAAAATCTTGGGAGGAGCACATTGCCTAGGTGAGGCAGAAACTGGTCTTTTGGGAGCACCACTCCCTCTCCATTGTGGGTAAAAACCTGGTCAGCAGGTGTGAGGCACTCTGTTGTACGTGGCGCAGGTCTGGTCCATTACCAGAAACTGTGCTGTTGCAGTCACATGAGCCATCTTCCACTTCATCTAGAGGTCTAAGATGGACCATGTCCACAGGGACACCATGTACAAAACTCTGGATGAGAGGGGGAAGATCATATCCAACATCACCCTCATCCTGATGGCTACATTTCTGTGCAGCTGCATCAAGCTGAGTCGACACTTGGTACACAAACTGATACTGAGGTTCTACCTTTCCCAAGTGTTTTGAAGGATGGAACTGGACTTGTTGCCACAGAATGCTCCAGGTAGTTGGAACATTTTGTATCACCTGTCCTTTGTCTAGAAATTTGCAAAGAAAAACACCTTTGACTATAAGTCCAACAGGAAGTGGTCAGCACATAGCATCCTTGAGAAACTGAGGAAAAAGGAGATGGTGGATCCTATCGCGTGGTTCCCTAAGCAGACTGTCAAAGTCATTTGGAAGAATGTCTCATCACCAGAACTTTCTAACAAGCACCAAGACATCGCTTGGCTGTTGGTGAGAAGGGCACTACCTGTGAGATCCTTTATGTATGCCCGGTCTGCCTGCATCATTGCACGCTGCCCTCAAGTGGTTGCGGGGGAGTAGAAACTGTCACATACCTCTTGCTGGAATGTGCCTTTGCAGAGGAAGTCTGGAGAGAGATGCAGTGGTTTTGGCTGAGGTTCATCCTGAGTAGCTCCATGACTCCTTGTGTTCTGGGGTCTGTTCCCTGGGATGCACACCGAGACAAACATCAACAGCACCTGGAGGACCATCAACTCAGTGAAAGATGCTCTCTGGTCTGTCCAAACCTTGTTGCTCTTCCAGAACAATAAGTTGACCCTGACCGAGTGTTGCAGACAGGCATATTCCAAGGTCCAGGACTATGTGCTGTGGGACGCACAAAAGCTTGGGGCAGCTGCTGCCAAGGTGCAATGGGGAAAGACCGTTGTCTGCGTTCTTCTTCTTGAAGTTAAATGGGGGTTCGTTCAATTATCGGACCCTCCTAGTGCCTCTAATAAACTGGTTCAAGTAAGAGATGCCTTTGGTTTGTTTGGATAGAGTCAAACTCCAATGTTTGTTTGTTTCCCTGCTATGCTACTGTACAGAAGCAAATTGCATTTGTGATTATGTGCATATATAATATATAGACTTCTTATGAATGAAGTATATTTTGAAATGAACATGTAAATAGAGTCTTGGACGAGTCAGGAATGCCTTTGGTTTGTTTGTTGGATAGAGTCAGACTCCAATGTTTGTTTCTATATGCTACTGTACAGAACCAAACTGTTTAAATGGCTATGTATATAAAGATATTTTATGAATAAAGTATATATTTGAAAAAATGTGTCCGAAAAGATGAGTAAAAGAAGAAATGCTGTCATTGGAAAAGTGATTGGGGAAGGTGCTTGGCTTTTATGTTCCCCACTTCCTGATTCCAGGTCCCTCAAGGAACTCTCTGGGAAACTGCTGGCAAACTCAAAGTCTGACAAAGTTGTAAGGGAAAGCTAGATGAGTCCCATTGAATCCCTGTACCATCACTCTTTTGCGGTAGTCTCAAGGAAACTGTGTTAATTGTCTCATTGAAGAGTTTGAATTGACATCTTGATGTGGGTGGGAATGTTGCAGTCAGCCTCAACTCTGGACTTTAGCCTTTTCATCTTTAGGACACAGACTGCAATGAGGCCATGAGCACCTGCAAGAACCCAAACTGAGTAGATTATGGCTAAGCAATTGCCACTTGACAGCTGCTCTGTTCTGTGGAAGAGTCACTGAATCCAAATCATTCAGGCCAACTCATCCACATTCTGATAACTAAACTGATCTTATCCCATTTGCCAGCATTTGGCCCATAATTCTCAATACTCTCCTTATTCATGTACGTACGCAGATCCTTTTAAATGTCCTAATTGTACCCACTTGCTGTAGAAGCTTGTTCCATACATGCACCAGCCTCTGCGTGAATAAGTTACCCCTAAGGTCCCTTTTAACTCTTTCCTCTCTCACCTTAAACTTACATCATTCTGAGGAAGGGTCACCGGACGCGAAACATTAGCTCTGTTTTTCCTTCGCAGATGCTGCCAGACCTGCTGAGCTTTTCCAGCAACTTTGTTTTTGTTCCTGATTTACAGCACCTGCAGTTCTTTCGGTTTTTATTTAAACCTACACCCTGTAGTTTTGGACTCCCCTACCCTGGGAAATCGACTTTGGCTACTCACTCCATCCATACCCCCCATGATTTTATAAACCTCCAAACGCCATCCCTCATCCTTCAACATTCCAAGGGAAAAAGCCTATTCAGTCTCATCCAATAGCTGAAACCCTCCAATCCCTGCATCATCATTGTAAACCTTTTCTGAACCCTTTCAAGTTTAACAAGATCTTTTGTACAGCAGGGAGACCATTATTGCCAAGCAATTGTCACTCGACAGTTTTGCTGACAACTCCTATTATCAGTTTGTAATTGGCTTAACAAACTGATTAAGTGGTAAATAACAGAGTTGGAATTGTCCTGCTTTTTGAGTTTAGCTTGGTGTGTGGGCACTTGAACTGGTAATCTTTAACTTAAACAAGGGGCTCAAAATTAGTAGCCTTATCATGTATAGTATTAAAGCAGCTACATGATGAGTTTCCACATTGGCTTCCCTGACTAACATAAAATCCACAGCACTACAGCAGATACAGAAGATGCTTGAGCTAGTGGCTCCATGGGTTATTGATTTGGTCAGGAGGTAACAATTGCCATTCCTTCAGTTTGGATATTGTTCGA